ACCATCCGGCCTGGTGAGGGGACATGCTTTTCTCTGATCAGCAGGCAGCAGTGGTTACCCAGAAGTCGGCCTTCCATGCTTCGATTTCTATCTCTTGGCCTCATTGTTTCCACTGTTTCAAGAGTAATGCCTTATGAATAAGCTGAAAAGGACAGCTTTGCTGTCCATGAAGAAGAACAGCAAGAACTGATCCAGGTTTACACTATAATTTAAACTTCATCTATGGTTCTAGTTTTTTTTTTGGTGCTAAAACTCTCAAAATTGTGTAATCGGGATAAGTCAGGTTAGAAGAGAGCTGACATGACGGAAAGCTTTTTGAGGGCAGTAAACATGTTTTCTTTTTATTTACATCTCCTACCTGGCACTGCCAGAGACATGGAAACAGTCAGTGAATGGTCAACTGAACCGAATGGGCGTCAAGAAGGAAGACGTCAGCTGGTTCCTGCAGGTTCCTAGCCCAAGTTCCTACTTTCATATTTGCCCATCCTAGGATGCTGTTTAAGAACAGGCTCCCCTCCTAGGGAACACACAGAACTGGCGTAGTGCACGATCCACAACATTGGAACAAAAAACATACATAGTACATTAGTCTGTATGCACACCACAAAAGACTAATCTCTTCTTAAAGCCAGTGATTTTTGGTTAGTGTTCTTTTAACCCATTTCTCTGTCTAATGTAAAATGCTATTGATTTGGAGTAAATACTCTGGGGAAGAGAAATTGTTAAATAGATGTATGAGGGACATCAGAGACTGGCATCTCCTGCCTATTAGATCAGAGCAATTGGAAGTTCTGCCTTTTGAACTTTATCCTGAAGCATAACTTGCCACCATGAAACATTTGATAGTAAAAGTAATTAATATACTTTGCAATGGTTATTATCATAACTCAGAAGTAGCTTAGTAATGGAAGAAAATTACTCAGGTAGGAAAAATTCATGTGTGGTGAAACTGAGTGTTTTCGATGACCGAGATGACTTCAGAAATGTCAAGAAGTTCAAAAGTGCTATGATGAAAGCATGAAGGGGACATGAGAGATGACAGAGGGTCGAGCGGAGTAAAGCAGAACCTTGGTAATGTTGTAGAACTTTACGCTGTGCAACTATAATAAGCTAAGTTGTTTAGATACCAGGATACTTACTGATTCTGTTTTGATGTTTAATTCTCTTGAGGCAATGCTTTGCTTTTCGTCTATGCAAACTTTTACAGTTTCCTGATGTTCTTTGACATGAATATTTTTCCTCCTCCTCCTTTCTTTTTAATTTAGAAATTATGGCATCCTCCATCACCAAAGATGCAGAAGCCTTAAATACGATGTTGGAATTCACTCCTAATTTGCCACAGGAGCTGAAGGCAACACTGTCTGAGAGGCAGCCATCATTGAGGGAGCTACAACGACCTGTGTTAAAGGACTCAGATCTTAACTTTGAAGAATTTAAGGAAATCCTTCTTAACAGACCCAGTGTAGCAGAAGACAACAGTCTTTCAGAATTAAAAAACTTAGGCTTAGATAAACATTCTCGAAAGAAGAGAATGATTCAGTTCAAACTGAGTAATAAGTGTTGTTCTCAAGGTTGTACCGTAAGAGAACTTGCTAGAATATGCTGAGATGAAGCTAATTATGTATTTCATATAATGTTCATGTGTATTCTCGATGACACATTCACTGATTCCTCTGTCACTGCACTAATTACTAGACTATTAGAAATCACTTTTAGTGTTGAGGTTTTTCATTTGGTGTGTAAGAAAATATTCCTCCAACTACTGTAGTTTCTGCTAATAAAACTCTTTATGCAAAAAAAGTATTTTTGTCTTTTTTATTAATCATATAATTCTTATTGCTTATTTAATACTGCTAACCTAAAATGACAATAAAGTCTCGCCCAATGGCACAGAGGTTAAGTGCGTGTGCTCTGCTTCAGTGGCCCCGGGTTTGCAAGTTTCGATCCCGGGCATGCATCAACGCACCATTTGTCAAGCCATGCTGTGGCAGAGTCCCATATAAAGTAGAGGAACATGGGTACTGATGTTAGCCCAGGGCCAATCTTCCTCAACAACAACAAGAAAAAAAAAGACGAGGATTGGCATCGGATGTTAGCTCAGGGCTAGTCTTCCTCACAAAAAAATAATAAATAAAATGACAATAAATCTTTATCACTTTCACCACACACAATAACTCAAAAAAATTTTTAAAAATAGATAGCTTAGTAAAACGCCCGTATACGCCAGACATATCTGGCATTACTGAGAATGCATAAGTCTACTTTTGAAATTCGTATTTGATAAATTATAAATTGTCACCCACTCTTTTTCCTCCAGACCTAATGCCCAAATGTTCTTTCACTACTTAAGATTAAACAAACTATTTTAATAGCAAAAAAAAAAAAAAAAACCAAACTCCAATTACACATTGCCTAACACCAGATATACAAAAAGGATCAAAATGTTTTTATTAATATTAACTCTTAGATTTGATACACAAAGAGTCATGAAACTTGGACACTCTGGTAGATTTTAAAAGATTTTTGTGTCTTATTGAACTATTAATTGCAAACAAGCATATTGGACACTAAATCAATTTATTTTAGTTGGGGCCAGATAAACTCAAGTATTTTTCCAACTAGGATTCTTTTCTAGTTCTCCTGTCTAAGACACTCAAATGTAAATTATGTTTTTTTAAGGAGAAAAGTGAATAATAGATATAGAAGAGAATAAACAACTCAGCGTCATGTATACAAGAACTAGTTTAGCAAGGGAACAAACTTTATGTTCACCATTTTAGAAATTGCAAACCATTTCTGTAACAAAATAACTGTGAAATGATATGAAAACTTGTTCAGATAGTAAGTTAATGTAGTTATCATCTTCATATTTAGCCAGTACCTTCAACTTATGTACACATCCATTTTCAGGCGGGATTTATAGAAAAATGCACTTAAATAGCAAGTTACTCGCCATCAAATGTCTATTAGCAGAATTTAAAGGGATTAAAAGAGCGACACCATATTTCAAATCCCCGTGCACGATTAATCACAAGCAGACTTCTAGTTTATTAAGGCTGCCTTGTAAAACTTTATAAATGGCTGTAGAACCTCAGAGGCCAGGAGCCACCTTGGACAAAGCCAGGAAGAGTGCTCTCTGAAATGGAAATTTCAACCCGGGAGAACGAGGGCGGTGACCAGGAAACTTACAGCCTGGACAGGACAAACAGGCATCTCCCCAGACCCTGCCCTGGCCCAGCTCCTCCATCTGCTCTTCCTCAAAAGCCCTGGAGACAGGGCTCCCAGTCCCAGAATCTGCCTTCACTACCTCTGATGATCTGACCACTTTTTAAGTGGTACAAAGACAATCTGTGGTCAACCATCTACTACAAACCCTCAATTAATCAATTAACACCTTTAAGATATCTAATTCTCATGCTACTAAAGTCCTCCTAAAACTCTCATGAGAAACTGATGAGTGTGTGCTTATTTTATTTCCTGTACAACAAATCTACTCTGTTTATATATATGCATCAGTTAGGATTGTATTCTCTGTAAATAACAGAAAAGTCTGTAACAGTGGCTTCAAAGAAGCCTGTGGAATAAACGTCCAACCCTGTTTAGCATCTGAGTGATGCCAGCAGTCTCCTCCCACCTTTTCAGTCAGCTGTGCTTCCCGTATAGGCCTTCCTCCTCATGCTCCCCACCTCGTGGCCCCAAGATGCCTGCTGCACCTCTGGGTCTCAGTGAGCATGTTTCAGGCAGGAAAAGAAGGGGACAGAAGAAGGCTTAGTGCCTAGATCAGAAAAACAAATGCTTTGCCAGAAACCTGCACGTGTGTTTCTTGCATCGGCCAGAACCGTGTCACATGAACACTTCTACCTGCAGGAGACATTGGGAAGTCATTTCTATGACTTATAGGCTAGAGAGTTGAGAGAGGCAAGGGAGAAGGGTCTAGAAAGATCAGATCAGCTTCACTCCTATAGCTTCACTCATGCTTGCTGTTCTTGTACCTACAATGACTGTTTCAAAAATGTTAATCTTTATTTATTAGCCTTCACCATTAAAATTAATTCCAACTGCAGTGGGATCCAAGGGATCTCATAGGAAAAAGAAAGCAGTCTTTGGAATCCAGCAGACCTGGGTAGGGACTGCAGCTCCAGCACTCACCAGCTGTCTGCACGGGCGCATTTATTTTTTCTCTTTAAAAAGGTGTCTTTGTTTCTTTTGTTTTGACTGAAAGCATTTATTTTTATTTTTGAATTAGTAGATGTTATTTTTTAAATTAGTTTTAGGGTTACCAAAAAAATATAGTGAAAAATACAAAGAGTTCCCATCTGCCCCTCACCCACAAAAACGGTTTTCCCTATTATTAACATCTTGCATTAGTGTGGTATGTTTGTATCAATTGATGAACAATATCGATTTATTATTATTATAATTATTAACTAAAGTCTATAGTTTACATTAGGGTTCACTCTTTGTGTTGTACATCTGATGTTTTTAAAATTGATTGATTTCTGTTTAGATCAGTTTTATGTTCACAGCAAATTGGAGTGGAAAGTACAGAAAGTTTCCACATGCTACCTTCCCACCCCATCCCAACCTCCCCCACCATTTGTACATTTGTTACAAGTGATGGGCCATCACTGATATATCATTATCAACCAAAGCCCATAGTTTTACATTATGCTTCACACTTGGTATTGTACATTCTATAGGTTTTGACAAATGTATAATGACATATACACAGCCTTGTAGCATCATACAGAACAGTTTCATAGCCATAGAAGTCCCCTGTGCCTCACTTATTCATCCCTCCTTCCCCCTATATCCTCGGCAACCACCAATCTTTTACTGTCTCCATAGTTTTGCCTTTCCAGAAACTCGTATAGTTATTACACAGTATATAACCTATTCTGATTGGCTTCTTTCACTTAGTAATATGCCTTTAAGATTCCTCCATGTCTTTTCAAGGCTTGGTAGCTCATTTCTTGATAGTGCTGAGTAACATTCCATTGGATGGATGTACCACAGTTTGTTTATCCATTCACCTATTGAAGGACATCTTGGTTGACAAATCCAACATCACTTAGATTTTCTCTTATGTTATCTTCTAGGAGCTTAATGGTTTTGCAATTTTTATTGTGGTAAAATACACATGCCATAAAATTTACCATTTTAACCATTTTTAAGTGTACAGTTTACCAGCATCAAGTACATTCACATTGTTGTGCAACCATCACTACTATCCATGTCCAGAACTTTTTCATTATCTACACTGAATCTCTGTATCCTTTAACAGGAACTCCTCATTCCACCACCGCAAGCCCCTGGTAAGCAGTACAGATCTTCCTCGACTTACAATGGGGTTATGTCCCGAAAATTGATGTCCCCATCGTAAGTTGAAAATATCATAAGTCGGGGCCAGCCTGGTGGCACAAGCGGTTAAGGGCGCACGTTCCGCTGCGGTGGCCAGGGTTCGCCGGTTCGGATCCTGGGTGCGCACCGACGCACCGCTTGTTAAGCCATGCTGTGGCGGCGTCCCATATAAAGTGGAGGAAGATGGGCATGGATGTTAGCCCAGGGCCAGTCTTCCTCAGCAAAAAAGAGGAGGGTTGGCATTGGATGTTAGCTCAGGGCTGGTCCTCCTCACAAAAAAAAAAAAAAAAAGAAAATATCATAAGTCAAAAATGCATTTAACACTCCTAACCTCCCAAACATCGTAGTTTAGCCTAGCCTACTTTAAACGTGCTCAGAACACTTACGTTAGCCTACAGTTGGGTAAAATCATCTAACACAAAGCCTATTTTATAATCAAGTGTTGACTAGCTCATGTCGTTTATTGAATACTGTACTGAAAGCGAAAAACAGAATGGTTGTATGGGTACAGAATGGTTGTAAGTGTATTGGATGTTTACCCTCATGATTGCCTAGCTGACTGGGACCTGCAGCTCACTGCCGCTACCCAGCATCACGAGAGAGTATTGTATCATTAGCCTGGGAAAAGGTTAAAATAAAAAATTCAAAGTACGGTTTCTACTGAATGCATATCACTTTCACAACCATCATAAAGTCGAAAAATCATTAAGTTGAACCATCCTAAGCTGGGGACCGTCTGTAGTCTACTTTCTGTCTCTATGAAATTGAGTTTTCTAGATACTTCATATAAGTGAATCATACATTATTTGTCCTTTTGTGTCTGGCTTATTTCACTTAGTATAATGTTTTTAAGGTTTACCCAGGTGGTAGCATGTATCAGAAATTTATTCCTTTTTATGGCAGAATAATGTTTCATTGTACATATATACCACATTTTGTTTACCCATTCACCCATTGAGGGACACTTGGGTTGTTTCCACCTTTTGCCTTTTGTAAATAATGCTGCTGTGAACATGAGTGTACAAATATCTGTTTGAGTCCCTGCTTTCAATTCTTTTGAGTACACACCTAGGAGTGGAATTGCTGGATCATATGGCCCTTCTATTTTTGACTTTTTGAGGAACCATCATACTTCCCACAGAGGCTGTACCATTTTACATTCCCACTAGCAGTGCACAAGGGTTCCAGTTTCTCCCCATCCTTGCCAACACTTGTTATCTTCCTTTCGGGATAATAGCCATCCTAATGGATGTGAAGTGGCATCTCATTGTGCTTCTGATTTGGTTTTCCCCAACCACTAGTGTTGTTGAGCATCTTTTCATGTGCTTATTGGCCATCTTCTTTGGAGAAATGTCTATTCAAGTCCTTTGCCTATTCTAATTGTGTTATTTGTTTTTATGTTGAGGTGTAGGAGTTCTTTATATATGCTAGATGTTAAT